AATTGAGCATATTCGCATTTGAAAGCGGAAGCCGCACGCACACAGGGGTTAGTTCCTGCGTAATTACACAGCCATCTGTCCATATCCCATTGGCATGCTATAGACCTTGCATGGCATTGCTGCCCTGATCTCTGTGTGGTTCAGTGGTTCATCCCATTAAGAAGAGACTAGCTCTTCCCAGAGAGACATAATGGCTGTGCAATGGAAGAAAGAACTTCTCATCTCCATTTCTGACTGATGAACTTCATAATGGCGTGAGACCGAAGTCATCTTTACATGCTGAGATTCAAGTATTATTTCATTTTCTGAAGACTACTGATATGTCTGAAGCATAAAATCTCATTAATACACTCCAATATATTGGACTCTGGAGTCTGGACCAAAAAACTACGTGTCAACGAGGGTCAATTTAATTTTTTTTAACTCTCACCTGAGAGCTAAATGAATCGTCAATTTATTGATGTTTGTTGGTATTGGACAATATCTGAAATCTAAGGGTTCAGAGAAATCTAAATATTTAGAAACTTGCCTTATAAAGTTGTCTAAATTAACTTCTTAGCAATGCATTTTACTAATCCAAAATTAGGTTTCTATATTTAGGTTAGAAATTTTACAAAAGGACTTTCAAGAGTTCACACTTAGATAATTCTTGACTATTTTAGCAGGTTTGGCATGCTGTCCTGGGAAAGAACCCTAAGCTTGGAGATAGATGAGCCCAAGCCTCCCAAGAGGAGGGAGAAGGGATGGATGGGGCGGGTCTTCCAAAACGAAGATTTTCGTTTATAGGCTGGATATTTATGTTAAAATTGGAATGATCCGATTCACTAGCTAATGATTAGCGATAGGGACCAGCTGCAGTCAATCCTATCACCTGCTCCTCTCAAAATTAGTTTGTGAAACTTCACTTATGGATCAAACGTTTTTCTTGATATTTTAATGGTTTCTGGCTTTAAAAAATCCAAAATTTTGACTCCTACAATGTAAAGTTTAATATTAAACTAATTTCGAGAGCTGCTGGACCACATTAGCTAATCCTGATCCTCCAATCAAAGGATCCTAAGTCACTATAAATATCCCCATTTTCTTTCTACAACTATCTTAATCTGGAAGAAACCCTCCCCCCTCCCTCTCCCCTTTTTCCCCCTTTATGCAGAATAGGTGGCCCAATGACTAGTACTGTTGCCTCACAGCAAGAATACCAATGGCGCCTGGTCCTCGCTGGGCCATCGGGCATTTCCTTGTGGAGTTTGCATGTTCTCCCCATGTTCACGTGGGATATGCTCTATATTATAGACAAAATAAGCCTTAATCTTTTTTCTAAAATGTCTTACTCTACGGAAGTTTTCCTTAGCCTCAGCACCAGGGCAGTTTTGAGATTGACCTAAGCTCAATTTCCCCTTGCCCTGCGAAAGAGAGGGAGCCTTGGGTCCGAACATTCCTTGAGCTCAGGGCTCACTCCCAGGCAATGGTCTTGAAGGGGGCGGGACCTGTCAAATACTAAAGAGCATTTTATTGGTCAGAAGGTTTGATGAGAAAATGAAGCAAGATGTGACGTCAAAAAATCCAACACAGGCTCATTCTGAAAACGTAGCCCTACATACATTTCTGGAGATCGCGAATTATGTAGCCAGAGCTATGTATGGCTAAATTTTATCAATAAAATGACTGCTGAGGGGCGGTATGACGGCGTTCCTTTTCAACACCCTTGCCTCCGTATACGGCTTTTTCTCTGTTACCAGTTTATCCAGTAGCTTGCCGTTTACGTCGGCAGACTTGAGACCCAGAATAGAGTTGACCATGACAACGGAGTTCGAGTCCAGTGAAGAACAGTTCTAGAAAACAGGTAAGATAAAGACTAAAGCTAAAAAGTAAATAACAGGGTGAGGATGTGGTAAAATCTGAAAACGTGGTAAAAATCAGGGGGCTTTTCTTTTTCTACACAGCGCTTGGGTTTGGGGAAGTGGGTTGGTGGGTCAATTGGTGCTTTATAAAATACTATTGGTTGGGTTTAGGGAAGGGGGAGGGTGGGGGTATCGTTCAGTTGATCAGTCAGTAAGTCAGTCAGTTGACAGTGGCCTCTGGTGGATTTATGTAAGAACTGCAGGTGTAAATGTCACTCGTGAGAGAAATTTGAAATCTGAAAAAGCATACACAGCGGCATCTAGTGGATTTGCAAAAAAAAAAAAAAACTGCAACAAAAAAAAGTGGCTCCTGGGTTGTATTTTGCACTCTTCCGAAATGTATATGGGGTACATAATCAGAATGAGCTTGGGTTGAAAAAAATCATAGATCTTTAAGTGGAACTGACAGTGACAGACTTTGGATGTTTACTATTTTTATTATGCAAATGTTGTCACTTTTGTAGCACATTAGCTGAGAGATATCCTCGAGACGGGACTTTAAGACTGGTTGAGGTTCAGGGTCACATGAATAATTGACCTGCACAATAATGCACATCACTTTTATGCTTTCCTGAGCAAAAGCCTATAAAATGCACAAGTTTACAAAAACAAATCGGTAGATGAGAGAGAGAGATTTTCGCCACCCACCCTGCTTTTCATCTGATGCGCAGATAATGAAATGATGTTTGTTGCAGTTTAATCCGATGTAATAATCCGTCGCTCTCAATCTGCTAGTGCTTCCCAATCCTAGTTGTGGAGGGGCCCAGCTCTGCACGCTAAATGTGTCCCTTATCTGACACATCCAGTTCAGGACTCGCAGACTCTATTAATGAGCTGATAATATAAATCAGGTGTTACATAAATGAGATATCAAAAACGTGCAGTGTTGTGGTCCAGAGTCGAGAACCACTGCATTAATCACTGCAAATCCTTTCAGACGTTATTAAATACTCATAAACTGGAGCATACTGTCACATCAACCGAAATACAAGGACATGCTTGCGTAATTCTAAATCAGAATATTATGGCATTACCATATTAAAATAATTATAAATCCAATTGTGCAAAGAAATGCAGATTTAAAAAGACTGAAGATGGGAACAATTTAAAAATATCCAGTGGTCAGGTTAATATTCAGAGAGAAAAAAAATCCAGCCAGGATTTGTCCATATTTTACACAAATTCTGATACAAACAGCCACACATTTATTTGTGTTTGTAATAAGTTGTTGGTTACCTGGTCAATACATAATGCTGGATTGATTGATTGATTGATTGAGGTAGTCAAGTTTTTTTTTGCATTGTGAGGATCAGTGATGGGAATAAAGGCATTATAAATAAACGTGTGTATATTGTATACATTAAGTAAAAATGTGTGTAGGGGTGGGACAACTACATGACTGATGATGATTGGTTAAACACAGTTACCAACATGATTGACAGTACTAGGTTTGTTGAAAGATACCAGCTGTAATGCATAGTATCCTATATATTTGAAAGAAGTCAAATTCACTTTTATTCATTTATTCATTCATTTTCTTTTTGGCTTAGTACCTTTATTGATCCGGGGTCACCACAGCGGAATGAACCGCCAACTTATCCAGCATGTTTTTTATGCAGTGGATGCCCTTCTAGACACAACCCATCTCTGGAAAATATACACACACACGCTCATTCAACCTCATACACTACAGACAATTTAGCCTACCCAATTCACCTGTACCGCATGTCTTTTGGACTGTGGGGGAACCCGGAGCACCCTGAGGAAACCCACGCGAATGCAGGGGGAACATGCAAACTCTACACAGAAACGCCAGCTGACCCAGCCAAGGCTCGAATCAGCGATCTCTTGCTATGAGGCGACAGCACCACCTACTGCGCCACTGTATCGCCATTAATTTTTATATTTTGATTATAAAAATAATACTCCTAATGATACTTTATATTTATACTCTATTTTGTTACATTACTTGATAAACAATTGTTTTTAGACTTATTTTTTGGCCATTTGTGGTAAAAAGATTTAAAAATTTCTAAACGATCAATTATGTTTTGTTGTTTTATCATAGAAAGGATAGGGCAGCACGGTGGCTCAGTGGTTAGCACTGTCTCCTCATGGCAAGAACGTCGCTTGTTTGAGTCCAGGCTGGACCAGGTAACATTTCTGTGTGGAGTTTGCATGTTTTCCTCATGTTGGCATAGGTTTCCTCAGGATGCTCCGGTTTCCCCCAGTCCAAAGACATGCACTCTAAGTGAATTGGGTGAATGTGGGAGTGTGTGGGTGTTTCCCAGTACGTTTTAAAATATGTTTTAAACCGTTGGATAAGTTTGAAAAACACAATAGTTACTTTCCTGGGTAGTTAGTTACTTATATAATGATGTAATTCAGTTATTTAATCATTTACTGTTTGTGAGAAGTAACCATAAATAATAACTTTTTTTTAATGTATCAATCCCTGGCGAGGACACAATAATGCCCCAAAGATAGTTCACACTTGTTTTGGTTTAATTAAATCAAACTGATGTGAAATATCTTAAACTAAAATAACCAAAAATAGGAAATTATGTGAGATATAACCATAAAAAGCTCAGACCTTTCATGTGATCTGATGTGCCCAATTGCCATTCAATACAGAAATGCATTTCTTGCACCAGAATTTCATTTGTGGGTTTTGATCTTTGTACACATTTTTAAGCTCTTTGAAAATGCTTAAATTGCATAAAAAGTTGTTACCTTTATGAATTGTGTTATGTTATAGTAAGTACAAAAGTATACCATGGTTAAACTAGTGTTGTAAAGTCGAGGTTTTTATATAGCTGCTTCATTTTATATAGAAATGGTTAAATGTTTGTAGGTATGATTGCCTTGATCATTTTACTTAATGGCCCCAACCTAAATTGCGTATTAAACATAATAATCATCTTTTAATTAAGAGATACGCAAATGTGTTTGTGTGAAGATTGAGAGAAAATATCATTAACACAATGGAACTAAATGAAAACGCGCGCACGTGTATGTGTGAGAGAAGGGAAGGCGAGATAAAGCGCGCGCAAAACTGGAGAGGGAGGGAGAGAGAGATTGGGTGATCCAGATGAAAGCAGAGATTATTTATTTCTCTGGGGGAGAGAGAGAGAAGGAGGGAGGGACAGACAGCAGCATTGCTCGCCGATAGTCTTGTCAGAAACTGCGCCGATCTAATGCGTCTCTCATAAACGCGCCATTAACAGTCGACCAAGGGCTCGCCGTCTTCAAAGTTTGGATTTCCTCATCCATCCCGTGCGTACTCTGTGCCAATCCGAGCAGGTAAAACTACTTTACATGTCTGGTGTATTCTCTTAAATCTGTGTTTTATGGCTTTCCTTTTAAGCTTTTTATTCCTTAGTATTAGCACCATCTGTTGAAACATACCAAGACATGACGATCTCATTCGCTTTTAAGTTTATAAAACGCGACAGAGTTTGTGAGAATGCCACATAAATCCTAACCTGTCAATAAACATGTAGGTGTGTGTGGTGATAGAGATGCTGTTTCTCTGCGCGCATTGCCTCAGGTGTTCTGTGTTTTAATTATTACCGGAGAAATTAGAGAGACAGACCGCATTTTACACCGAAAAGTTGTTTAACACGTGATTTTTAGTCACAAACCAAGAGTGAAGCATTGAGTGTTATAGATTTGCTTTTTAGCGACGTTGCATCAGTCCGCGTGAGATTTTTAAAAACTGTTGTAAGAGCAGGTGATCAGTAATGCCATGGCAAATATATGCAGCTTCCCATTTCAGAGCGAGATGAAATAACAAATTAATTATTTACAAGGTACATATTGTGGCACAACGTTCCCTAATGGGCTTATTAATGTTTTTGTTCTGAGGCTAAATATTCGTGATTGGGCACTTGTCGCATTTTTCCTGTTGTCGTGTTGTCCTTGCCATTTCTGAGGTATTCTGCCGTTTATTGTACAAGTAGGCTTAACTCGAGAGTGGTTGTTTAGTGCTGAGAGAATTTCAGGGTCTGTGTGAGCTGTGCTATTCTTTTGAGGGCCAAATGTCCTCACAAATATAGTGACATAACATGTTTGAAGTGGTCTTTACTATTTAAAAGGTTCAAAGTAAATGTCGGATTCGTTAAATAAAAACAACAGGTCTAGTATTAAGACATTCTTGTTAAGTTCTTACTAATATAGCTATAAAAGACTTATTATATGCTTATATATATATATATATATATATAACATAAATTTTATATTTACAGTTGAAGTCAGAATTATAAGCCCTCCCTCGGATTTTTTTACTTAATTTTTTAACTTAATTATTCTAGTTAAACCTTTAAATTTGCCCTTTAAGCTGAATACAAGGGTTTTGAAAAATATCAGTACAAAGATAAAAAAGATATCCGTTTTTAGAAATGAGTTATGAAAACTATTATGTGTGGAAATGTTTGAAAAAAATCACTTCGTTAAAGAGAAATTGGGGGGGTGATAATTCTGACTTCAACTGTTTGTGTGTGTGTGTGTGTGTGTGTGTGTGTGTGTCTGTGTCTGTGTCTGTGTGTGTGTGTGTGTGTGTGTGTGTGTGTGTGTCGTAATTCAAAACTGTTAAGAGGAAGAGAAGCGTATTTTCACATTAAAAATTTGCCACAGGTTTTCTTTGAGGATTATGTTTAGGAAATAGAGTTATGGTAAGGTAATAAAATAAGCAGTTTTTAAAGTATATAATACATTACATCTGATAAACCAAGCATGTGTGTGTGTGTTCTGAATGCATAATAAAATAGCCACAAAGGCACATTGACATTTTGATGACATTTTTAATTTTCACCTGTTAGCTTTTTAAAAAAAGTCTTGTCACTAATTTAAATGTCTGTTTTTCAAAGCAACGCATCAGAGTCCCACATGGCTCTTTCATTACTGTTCATTATTGTTTTCATTCAGTCATAATAATCGAAGGTCTTCAACCTTTTTTTCATGCACAGAACTTTGTTATTGTGCTTGCATTGCAAAGCCATTAAAATACTCAAATATGTACAAAGTCTTGTACGATACGTTTTGCTTTTCATTTTAATGTTTGAGGAAAAAAGAAACATTTAGATGAACTTCACTTACAAAAGCAAATGTATAAAAGCCACATTATAGGCTCTGTTTTCTGTGAAGCTCAGCATACTTATATCAATCTAACAGTTGACGGTTCAGCTTTGGTTGAAGGATACCTTTTTACTTTTTGTTTAATGAATTCAGCATATTTTGAAATAATACTTGGCAGGCTTTGTACAGTATACCATCTCTACAGTGCAGCTGAAAAACTCCGCTCTTATTATTAGCCACATGGAGATGTGTCTGAGTCTGCTGTCAGCTGCCAAACACACTGAAATACAGCACTTTGCAGACAGAAAATGTCAAGCAAATTAGATTTGAGATTTTCATTATTTTAGCGTTTCAGCATATAAACTAAACCATGCAAAGAGTTAGTGATTTGGTGTGTAATTTACAAGATGGCATTAATTCCGTTCACAATGCCCTGCCTTGCTGGATGAGGATAGGAAGATCACTGTCGAACCTTCTAGAGCTTTTTCAGCTGCGGGTCGTACAGTAGTTGCTGAAACAGAGACGGTTTTACCCCTGTGCCACACTTAAACAGTCTTTGCAGCCAGAGAGGTGTTTGTGAAAGTGACAGACGCACCCACAGGTGAGCTGTGAACTCGACTGAAATCTTGCACATCCTTTTAACACATAGCAGCATGATGCAGGATTTCCCAGTTAACACTCATTTACAGGATTTCACAAATGCTAAGCCTCTAGAACAGATCTGTTAGAAATGGTTAATGGCCGTGACGGACTCAGATTTGGGAATTGAAAAAAAAAAAAACAGCAGTTGAGCAGATGAGAAAATGGGCCACAGTGGATTAGTAAAGGGGGAAAAGGGCAAACAAAATAAAACAAAAAAAAGTTGCAGGATTAGTTTGATTGCTGTGAGATTGCATTACAAGACTGAAAGAGACTCTCGTGGAATGAAAAAATACAGTCAGTGGTGGTCTAGAAATGCTGTACTGCAAAATAAATTAATTGTTTGGCTAGCCTTCAAGTCTATTCAAGTCATTAGGGTCATCTGTGGGGTACAGTAATCTCTTGGTCGAAAAGCTTTTGAGCTGTAATATGTATAATTTGTTTCGTGAAGGTATAGTTTAGCTATTATTGGAATAGGACAGTTAAAGAGAGAGAGGAAATGAGAGAGGAGATTAGTGGACTACGAGCCAGGGTTCGAACTTGGGTCACACAAAGTGCTGTTGCACCATATGTCAGAGCACAGCCCACAAGGGAATGGCTATGACTACACTGTCAAAAATATCCTGTAAGTTGTACACAAAAACAGTTACAGTGATAATGTTTCTGCTAGTTGAAGATTAGTCCTCCTGTAAAAAATGATCTCTATTTCAAATATTTTCATAATTATATTTAACGAGTGAGGAATTTTTCACAGTAGTTCGTATAATATTTTTTTTCTTCTGGAGAAACTCTTATTTACAAATAATAAACAGTTTTTATTTTTTTAAGGTCAACATTAGTAGCCATTGTTATACAATTTTTCAGCTTTAAGCTGAATCGTAGTATAAAACATTATGTACTGTCATCATAGTGAACATAAAAGAGATCATTCATACATTTTCTTTTCGGCTTAGTCCCTTTATTAATCCGGGGTTGCCACAGCGGAATGAACCGCCAACTTATCCAGCACGTTTTACACAGCGGATGCCCTTCCAGCCGCAACCCATCACTGGGAAACACTCACACACTCTCATTCACATACACACACTACGGAGAATTTTAGCTTACCCAATTCACCTGTACCGCATGTCTTTGTACTTATGGGGGAAACCAGAGCACCCGGAGGAAACCCACGTTAACACATGGAGAACATGCAAACTCCACAGTGTTGGAAAAAACATATCTAATAATTCTAAGGCTAATAATTCAGCTGTATGTGATGTCATCGGTGCTTTACACTTTACAACTTAAATCTATGAAAATACATTAAGCAATAAAATCTTGTATGCTCAGCCAACTTTAAGTATCACAATATGATTTTTACTTTTGAATATTCTGATAACCAATAAGATAATGCAAAAGAGGCTGTTGAATTTGCTGTTGTCTCCACAACTTCCTGGCTGATCTGTCTCAATGTAAGACCAACAACGTAAGATGCATTCGTAGTGGAAACTCTGGTGAGAGTAAACAAATGAGGATGACTAAACACAGATAGCTAATTGTAAGTTGAAAATAGGGAGTTAAAATTTTAGAGGATTTTACGGTAACGCTTTCTTTTACAACCCGCAAAGTACCGCGTAAGTACAGTGAAATTACAGTGTACTTTTCTGTACGTACTGTGTAAGTATAATGAACGTATGTGTAGGTATGAGGGAACAAACCGTAATGCTTGGGTAAAAAGGGGGTAACAACCAGATGTTCATCACGAAAATTACCGCGTAAGTACTGTGAAATAACGGTGTACTTTTCTGTACCTATAGTGTAAGTATAAATAACGTTTACGTAAGTATAAGGGAACAAACTGTAATGCTCGGGTAATAAGGGGGTAACAACCAGATATTCAGCATGAAAGGTACCGCGTAAGTACAGTGAAATAACGGTGCACTTTTCTTTAAATTGCAAAAGAACAAACCATAATGTTTGCGTAAAAGGGGAATAACAATAAGATATCCATCACGCAAAGAAGTATATTAAGTTTACGATGTACATTTCTTCAAGTATTGTATACATATAAAGAATTATGCAAGGATGGTGACAACCTATTGCTATCTGCAAATGTACTGTATATGCACCTGCGTGAGTACATTAGTACTCTTATTCAGTGCTTGGGTTTTATATAGGGTGTTTAATGAATAAAAGGTTTAAAACCTGTGAAATTATGGACCCTTATTGTATACTGTATGTATTTTAAATCTGCAATTCAATATAAAATATATTTCCATACACTACTTACCTTATGTTTACTCGTCGATCTCACCAAAGCCATCAATGTCTCCATAACTCACTATCAATAACTTTGCATGACATTGGCCTACCGTCAGGGTTCAATGCAGATTAAAACAGGCTCGCATCTTTACTGCTGTTGCACAGGGGGGCTAACTGTTGCATTTCAGTAAATGTATAGCTGATGCTTTATAGAAAAATCTAGTAATTTGGTCTTCAATCAATAAAAACTGCTGCTGTAGTTTACTCTGTTCTTAGTGTTCAAGTATACACTAGTATGTTAAAGTTCAGCTTCTTCCCTCTTTGTTCCCTGTAGTTAAAGGGTA